TCACTTTTAGACAACACTTAAAAACAAGGCAAGAATATTTATGTGAGTGAAGCAACTTGAAATACTGCTCACATGCACTATAGCAGGTCATTATGTAGTACAGCCTACAGACTTGAAAACAGCAACTGTGCACAAGAATACCTTTTTGAAAAACACATGGATTAGAATATCTTTGCTTCTAAAAGGTAATAAGAGCCATTTTCACTACTATTTTTATAAGCTTTAGAACATTAGAACAGCTAATGTGCTCAGTCTTTTTTTAATGTGGTAGGACTTAAATATCTTTTCATAGAAATGCATTTGTTTCTTCAAAACATTCAAGAACTAAAAAGACCAAAGATTTAAGAAAATATTGTCACTGTAAAATCCTAAAAGATCTACAAAACCAGACTTTACACTTAGAGATGAAGGGTGAAGAGAATTTACTGGAAAGACCTAAAAAAACTCAAATAACACTTGATAAGGCTCAAATCAAGACTAAACTCAGCCCTATATAACATTTAGCTATTATTTTAGCACTCTACAGAAAGAAAATCATAACTTTTTTGAACTCATTAAAGTTTCAAACACCGTGACTCAGATCTCATTGATTTCACTGAAAGTGGCTGGCTAGGTGCAAAAAGGAATTCCTGTTCTTACATAAATATGTTTTTCTTCTTTGAAACATCTACCTCCTTATCTGTAGATTTTCCCATCATGGGAAAATTCCCTTCTGAGTTGCACCTTTTCCCATTTGTAGTCTGCCACATTTCATAATTCCTTGTGCCTTCCTTCCCTTTTTACTTTTGTTTTTCCAATTCCCTGGAGAATAAGGAAACTCACACCCTTGAGCATTTTTCTCACTCTTAATTCTGTTCTCAAGCTCCAGTTTACTGGTTTCCGTCAAAGAATAATAAAAGCTTCTGTTTAAATTAAGAGTTATTTTCATGCATAACTTTTCCTCAGTAAGAGCGACCACAGATGTAGTGGCTTGTAGCTGTCATTACTGTGTCATAGATACATGGATTAGATTGTGAAGCAAATGTAAACTTTCCTTAATTACCTGTATTTATTTTGAAAACCATAAAGAAATCCTGCCATTATATAAAATCATTTCAACAGACATTTATTCTCTTTTGTGTCACCTAGACACTGTATTTCCTTGTTTCATGTTACTGCTATGAGACTCTCTTTCACATTTAATTACTTTAAAACTCTTCATTTGTCTTTGGAATAGTATTCAGGAGCATGCTGGATTTGCAATAAATCATTCTTATCCCCTCTATATATAGATTGTTAATGGATATGTATATATTGGACTTTTAGTCTTTTATTCAGGACTCTTTTCTGGCCAGTATCACCAAAATATTTAGACAAAATATTGGGGAGCACAAGAAACATAAAACGTGTTTTAGTTTTTCACATTCATGCTGAGAAATGAAAGAAAATGTAAAGATATATAAAATCTTGTATTTTTATTGCATGACAGAAGTCATGCAGGACATGATGAGAGACTGGAAAACGTAGGCCTGTTTTCTATATTTGTTGGAAACATATATAGAGAGATTTCCTCAGGCTGCCAAGGGAAAGATACACAGTTAGAATGTGAGCCACTCCACACTATACCAAAATAAACATTGTTTTTAACTAGTAAGTAGGATTCTACTCCACTGCAAGATTTTATGATGCACTTATTAGTCATGAAGCACGGACATAGCAAAACCTCAATAAACCTTAACCAGTTTTACTGTAATAACTTTTTGTAGATGTATTTAAAATTGCATGAAGTACCAATCAAACTTGAAACTGATTGTTGAAAGCTATTTTGGATGAAGTAGAAGTAATCTGCAACTGGTTGGACAATCCAAGCAGAATTTCTTCAATGCCTTCAAATTAAAAAAGAGCTCTCAGAATTCTTACAGGTCTCAGCTCCATTCACTCCGTGAACTGAGTATAGCCAACTGCACAAACAACCTATATGACTTCCTGAATATTGTAGCAAGATTTAAGACAGAAAAATGGAAAAGCTCTGAGCTGACATAGCCCAGAAAGTGCAGACCTTATTTTGGTGCAGAGCCATTCTCAAATCAGGCACTCACACTAAAAATTTAGGATCGCAACTGCTATCTCAATCTTATTTCTCAGATTATCTTAATTAAAACAAAAAATTGAAAGAAAAATCAGAATGAAAAATTTGCATATATGAGAGCCTATCCCAATGCCCAAAAGCCATAGAAAAAAATTACAAGTTCTCAAGAACCAGAGCTAATGCACAGTTCACTTCATTTAGATCCCAGATGATAATTAAGTAATCAAAGGCTTTCAAGCAGATCAAGCCAATCAGGGAAGGACCTCAATAGGAGACTTCCAGATACAGTTATAATGCCAGATGCAGAGTTAGAGCCCCTTTATCAGTCAAAGGTAAGTGAGCACTTAGGTTGGTGAAGGTGTCATAATGAATGTGAGTACTGATGTATGTTTCTTTTTCTTGCATTCATTGGTAACACTTGTAAAAGATGTTGACTTGAAACCAGTTACAGGAGTCCCCTTTTCATGTCAGAACAAAAATATGAAGGTAGAATTAAAAAAATAAAACAAATGCTACTGAGATGTTTGTTTCAATTACTATATGTATAATTACCTTCTGTCTAGGTAAGTGACATAGATAAATATGTGGATAGTTAAGTTAAACCTGATGCATTTAAAAATACTTTTGGTCCTCTAGGTATGAATGGGTGTCCTAAAAGACTTGAGGGGAAAACCCATTTTTCTCTTACTACAGAACACTTCTGTATCCCTGAGAATGTTAGATTTTCCAGAGAGGTTGTGGAGTTTCCTTCACTGGAGATATTCCAGAACCATCTGGATGCAACCTTGTGCAGTGTGTTCTAGGCTGACCATGTTTGAGCAAGGAGATGGGACCAGGGGACCCACTGTGGACCCTCTCAACCTGACCCATTCCGTGATTCTGTGATTTTTTTACAGAGTTTGAGCTTAGTTTCAGGATGCATCTCACGCTTACATAATAAGCGCTGCACTGCTCAGGAGCATTCCTTGACTGCACTGCAATGCCTCTGCAGGTGTAAGTGATAAATGGCCAGTGGATTTTATACTGATAAATAGAAACTGTTAGATCCACCGTAATATGAATAGTTAGTGGTAGCTGTAAGGAGAAATAAGCCACTGTAAGAATCTACAAGACCAATTTACAAGGGACTAAGAAACGTAATGAATTTCAGTTTGAACAGGACTCTACCTTGTTAGAACTTATAATTTGAGGATTTTCTAATATTCAAAATAAATTACAATAGCTGCAGGCAGTGTGCAGGACTGTTAAAGCTATTCAGTTGCAAAGCCAAGGGATTTGATAATGTATACAGTTTTTCCCTTGAGGCCCAAAATGTAATTATGAAAAAGTTCTGAACTGAAAAATAGTCTTGTCATCTGTTTTCATGAGAGATAAAAGATCATTTTAAGGCGGAGAGGTTACATACAAGAAACAAAATTAAATTTAAAAAACCCAACATGACAACAGTACAGATGCTGAAGAATAGTAAAAGAAAATTAGATATTATAATTAGAAGGGGAAATCATTCTACCTTTACTAGACATATGCTATTAAAATATTTAATTCATCTCCTGATTAATTCACTGAATGATGTGAAGACTATTACAGAGGTGATAAATCGGTAGATTAATATGTATTCAGCAGAGATATATGAGGTAGGACTGAATTAAACCCCCTAGATCAATAGGAGACCAGTTAGACCCTTCTTACTATATTGGGTCTAGAACATAGTATCTTATTTTTACATGTGGTTTTAAATTATCATACTGTCTCAATAACTCCTAATCAGGGGAATATGATTAGAAACAGCTTTTTGGTGCAAGCAATTCTGTTATTCTAATGTTTTTTCCTGACTTCTCTGCAGAAATTCTTAGGTATACTTTGGTAAATGAGTTCTTCTTAATTCTCTACTTAAAGGTGATACTGCCCCTAACCTTCTACCAGCAGACTGTATTCCCTTACATTCCAAAAAAATACACCCATCATACTTGTCATGTGTTCGTCTTATTTCAGTTGTTCAATTCAGCTGTGTTAAATGGCTTCAAACTCTGGAATTCTAGTTTGTTCCAAAGTTTTCTGTGACAAGTCTCTCTTCCAGGAACCCAGGAAAACAATTCAATATTCATGTAATATCTTTAACATTCTTGATTATTCATATTAGGAAGCCTTTCAAATTAGAACATTTAAAATGAATGTATGAGAGTATGTGGAAAAGCTGGGAGAAACCTGTGACCAGAATCAGGCACATGGTCATGTTGCTCCCAACACTGAAAATAAAATGTGATTTTTAAATTTGGTAAGTTACAAAACTGTACTACTTGAAGAAAAATTGTTTATCAAGTAGGCACAGACTCTCCTCCGGTATAAAAAAATTGCAAAGGTCCTGCAAATTCTAATTACTTTGGCAAAAACTGGAGAAGATCTGGATCTACAATTATGCCATTTTACTGCTTAACTATAATTTGAGTTAAAATGCCTTTAAATGAAGGCAGCATAGTAATATATTACGTCTGGCCACACCTTGAAGGATGCTTGTAAATACAGTGAATCTGAGAAGGTTTAATATCTGGTGGATTTTTGTTCCTGTAGCTGTAATTTTTGGTTGAATCTATGCTGGTAAGTAATCCAAGATGAGCCACTGCACCATTTCTAAAATGCCATTTGTGAGCTATAATATAGATTGCAATCATAGTACTAAGTGTTTAGAAGAGAAATTAAGTACTTGAGGTTTGACTATCTGGAAATGGGGCAGAGAAGCTATTAGAGTCATAGAATATTAAGAGGTTTTAATGAACCTTAAAGATCAACTAGTCCCAAGTCCCCTGTCATGCACAGGGATACCTCCCACTAGACCAGGTTGCTCAAGGCCTTATCCAATCTATCTTTGAACACTGCCAGGGTTGAGGCATCCACAATCGCCCTGGGCAACTTGTTCCAGTGTCTCACCACCCTCAAAGCAAAAAATTTCTTCCTATTATCTAACCTAAATTTCCCCTCTTTTTATTTGTACCCAATACTTCTTGTCCTATCCCAAATAAACTTGACCAAATCAAAAAATAAACCTGCCCAAATAAAAAATCATAGATGGTGCAGCCTCATATTGCAGGGGACAGTCAGTGTACCAAGCTTCATGCTTGATCTATAGTGAAGAAAAGTATTCTTCTTCTTGCATTTCTTAGTGTCATGATTCCTTTTTCAGTAGCCACTTCAGACTATTTGTTACTACACAAATAGAATAATAAGAAGTTAAAAAACATGCAGAAGGAAGAAGGTACAAAAAGAAATTCATTGCAAGGAAGACAAGAATAAGAAGATACTGGAAGTCAATATCTAGGAATGGATGAAAGAAAAAGAGATGAAAAGTCAGAATAAAAGTCCTTATTGGCTTCTAGCATGGCTGCCCAAAAGTTAGTGTAAGTCGTTTTTAATGTTCTTTTGGAGTATGTCGAATGATTCCTTTTGGCTTTGGGGAGAGGAGAAGAAATGAGTATGAGATTAATGAAAGAGGATATAGATGTTTTCTATGCCACACTACTAAATGAACTGACAGTAAAATTATGATTTCACTACTGAATGTTTTAAATACTATTCAAACTATAGTAGTATCATGCAAATGCTGATTTTATTTTGGAGACGTACAAGACAAGGAATGAAAATGTGAAGTATTCACCATGGCTATTTCATAGCAGACCAGCATCCTGATAATTTATTTTTCTGGAAAAATCTGTTACATTTCATTTATCTAAAATTATATTTTATCTGAATCTCAAGCACTGCATACTGGGAAGTTTGGAAACTAGATTGGAGATAATGAGGTTCAGCTAAGACTTTGAAGAGAGGAGACAGAAGTCAGCTGGCTGTATTGAAAGCTGAGTAATGTGTTAAGAGAAATTAACATACCATTTTCTTAATGATCTGGTGTAGGATGATTTCTATTGAACAAATTCATTAGCAAAGTTCGTAAAAGTAGGAAAAATATGTTACCTCATTTTACCGTTGACACAAAGTTGGAAGATGTCATTAGTACTAAATAGTTAAAATATTTGACAGAAAGATGAGGGTGACTAAGGAATAAAGAAATAGCAATGGGATTAAAATAATCACATCAAATTCGAGGTCTGAGATGACAGTACTAGATGAGCTACTCTTTATTATCAACTCCAGCCTCGTATTGACTTTGAGTTCACTGACTAGGACAAAAGGAGGAATTTGATGTACATTAACCAATAAGTAATTATGACACAGTAATACAATTAAACTCAGAAGAGCACAAATCCCTCTCATAATACTTCATGTGAGCCCTTTTCATTTGAGATGGGGAAGTATCAAAAGGTTGAGTATTCCATAATTCTGAAGAGGAAAAAAAAAAGATAAATTATTAACATCCCTTAAAGAAGGAGTAAAGACTTGCCTTTTAAGGCAAGCAAACAAAAATCTGAAAGGAGAGAAAAAATGTTATGCACTGTAAATGACAATCCTTCACTGAATATCAGAGACAAAATTTTATGATATTTCAGTCTGGTGACATTGGTTGTACCAAGAACAGAAAATGGCGTGACATCATGCTATGCATAATTATGTGTTTTGTATGCTGCTTCTCTTTGACCTCCACTGAGGCATTTAATTCATCCAGGGAAAAGAGGACCATAGGAGAACTATACTTTATCTAAAATCTGGCACAAGTACAAGTAGGTATAAACTGACCATAAATAGACTCTTGAAAATTTGAAGAATTTTACTCACCAAAGGGCTAAATCAGTAACAGTGTTAAAATGGCCTCACTGAAGCAGAAAACCTCTTTCACTTAGAGGTAAAACTTAAAAAAGATTAATCAGTGTATTTGATTGTCATCTACGGGATCAAACTTAATAAACTTTCTAGTTTTTTACAGTAATGAATACTTGTGTACTGCTGGAATTACTTCAACAATTTTCTGTTTTCTTAGACAGTGAACTGAGATCTTAAGGTATTGGAGAATGTGCATAATCATGTAGTCAGGTGCCTTGTGGAACATGGTACCACAAAAGCCATGTCATACTGATCACTTACTGTTTCCAGTGGTAACTTGATGGGTTTTTTCTTTCCATTGAAGTGAGATGCTGGAGGTGGAGGCATATGGCATGCATACTTGACCAAAATTCCAAATATTAATGAGGTCAGAATTGCACATTGTTATCTGGAATTTACCCAATATCTGAGATTCAGATGTTTTCTTTTTTCATTTCTATGATAACATCTGTAAAAAGAATAGAAAATTGCACAAAGTCAAGACATTGAAAGAGTTTTAATAAATATAGATGGTCTAATATCTGTGATTTTATGATAACTTTTGACTAAAAAATTGCTAAAATTTAAAAAGGTTCATCAGTATTGCATTTGTCAATTCATTCAGATGTCACTGCATCATCTACATTCCTTTTGCCAATATCATAAAAACAATTTTGTAAATGGAAGGAGCTAGGCTGGGACAAGGCCTTTTCTATTCATATCTTCTACAATACAGCCATGATGACTTTAATACTCTTGACATACTAACAGTTTTCCTCATATGTAAGTCAAGGATTATAACTACCTAAGAAATAAAGAAAACACAATATTCTTGTACAATAACTGAATGAATTTTTTAAATAGGAAATGAGTGTTTGTTTTTTTCTCTGTATAATAATAAAATCACACATAGCCTGAATCATGGTATCCTTATTAGAATATTTCCAAAGCAGAAATGGAAGCAAAAGAAGGTTTAACAATGTAAAATTTTTTTGTTGAGTTCAGTAGGACTTGTTCTTTCTCCTGTAGCAATGAGATTAAGTGCCAGAAATGGTGCATACACATATCCATGTTTTGGAGAAATTCCAAAATCCACAATGACTCAGTCAGAGGTCATTTCCTAGTACAGCTTTCCACAGTGCCTTTCTGTATTCACTGCTTCTCAGATTTTCACCAGACCCAAGAATGAGGAGACAGGAATATCTAATTATATAGCACAGAACATGAAGCCATTTAGATAACTAATATTTGCACATGTATTACTTATATTTTATCTTATAAATCTAGCTTTTTGTTGGGGAAGGCTAATTTTAGTCCAGAGTTCCCATTTCCTCCTAAGTTCTACTGTTACAGTTTGATTCTTCTTTTCAGAGATTTTCTGAAAGAAAAAGTTGCATTAGGAGTCCATGTTCCACAAAAATCTAGTAAACTACTAGTACTTTCAAAGCTAGGTAAGTATTGCGTCATCTTTCTCTGTGAATTGTGAAGATGAAAAAGCACAGGGAAGATTGTGGAAAGCAAATGGCAAATGAGGAGATGAGAGCAGGACAGAGTTTTCTTCCTTTCTATGATTCCTGGACAAGTGTCTCTACAATTTTCATGTACAAGCCTATAATATCCCATAGGAACATATTAGTTTTATGAGTCAAGAGGAGGTGTTTTTTAAAAATTGGTTTAGATGCATGTTTACATTTACAGGTTTTTAGCAACAACACTGAATGCTAGTAGTTTTTGTAATTTAAAATAAGCCAATTGGAGAAAGCAGAATGATAGTAGTGTAAACCAATTACATGTAAACACGGAATTGTGTGCAGCAATATAGATTTTCAAATAACAATGAACATATAGTGATAATCTTCAAACAACAATCCTCTCTTAGAGGATAGAGCAGATGCCAGACTGAGCACTGAAGCAAAAAGAGAAAAAAATTCATTGATTACTGAAACTGATCCTGACATTGTTTTATATACAGAGCTCTCCATGGCTTTGTAATAATTCTTATCCACAGTTTTGGCATTGCTAAACTTGGCACTGAGCCCCATATCTACAAATCCCAGAACATTAAATATTTAGGTTAAAGTAAGCAAAGGACAGAGAAGCTAGTCAAACAAATCTTGCATTCGCTTGGATGAATACACTGACGGTTTGTCAGTATAGTAAACACATCGTGTTCAGCAGCATTGTGGAATTATAGTAGAATTTTCCTGATCCCTTTCACTGGTCTTTGCTCAGTGACAGAAAAACACCTTAACAAACAGTTTTGCCAGCTTTCGTATTATGTGATAGATAAGGCAAAATAAGATAGCTATTCACTAACAGATAAGGGATTTTTGAAAATGAGACAAGAGAATAGCTGCAGGTGTGATTTGGTAAGAACAGGTAGTGCAACATTCTGTGTTTGGGGGAAGATCTATAAAAACACAAAGGAAAACCGTACCTGGGACAAGTAAGGGTCTAAGCACGCTTCAGAAGTGCACAGGGGCTGTGTGATCTCTTCTAACCTGTGCTTATGATACAGCCATAAGGGAGAACCCTTCCGATTCCATAAATACCATTCCCCAGAAGGATCCTGACAAAAATAGCAGACTGCTTAGTTGAACAGGCAGATGACATTGACATAAAACCAATTAGTATGAAATTTGCAATTTTTTGGCACTCTACTATGGTGCCAAAAGAAATTATTATGGGATTACAGGCACAGAATATTTGAGAAGGGACTTTAAAAACTTCTTGTGGTGATTCCTTAAGAAAACTTGAAGCTGATGATGAATTAATATGTAAGTGGAAATAATACATGACATTGTCTAATTGTACCATATATGCATCGTGCAAAGTTAAATTACTTCAATTGTATAATAAAGTAAATATATCTTACTGAATCATTTGGAGAAAAAGCGCTCAGATTTGCAATGATATCGAGTTCTTAACATAAAAAAGCAAGGAATTAGACACAAATAACTTGAATTTTAATACTGCACCGTCACATGATGTGAGATTACTTATGCTGGACTCATTAATGAGAGTCTTAGTTCCTCCTTCTTAAAATTTATAAATTTAAAGATCCATTTTCTCTCTATATAAAATGCCACAAAATGAAAGTCAGGTGATGATTAAGCTGAGTTCTGTTTTCTGATATATACAGTGTTTCTTGTGCTGCAGAAAGAACTGCTGCATTGCAAAATGTGCTTTTTGACCACAAAATCAGTCTTGGGACCAATTACTTTTTAAAAACAACATGAATGTACTGAGAAGCAGATGAAAGGTGTATGTGGGAAAGAAACTTAATGTACATGGAAGTGAAAAAGAAATCCTGATTTGCCACTTTTGGGCATCATGATGAAATACGCTGTACAGAGTCCTTGCAATTAGCCAGGATCAAGCTGGCTGAAGAAGGAAAGCAGTATATTTATATATGTCTGGTCCTCTGTCTAACTAAATTAACCTCTCTAAAAGCATGTTTGTTAATTCAGTTTTGCAGAGTCTAACTAACCTTACTTCAGTGTCCACTCTGAAACCAGTATGTGTGCACTGCACAAAACCATGAGAAGACAACAGATGTTTGGATGGTTGTCTGAATGCCTCCGTGCTACTTCTAGAGTACAAAACATTTGCACACCCTGTGTAATTGTTTATATTGATATCCCTTCTTTGATTTTGTTAAACGTAGACAAACTGAGGAGAATGAAATCACAAATAGCTAGAATATATCTATTAATAGAGAAGGTTGAAATTGGGGAAAAGAATATAAAATAATACGAAAAACTAGAATGTAATTTGAAAGAGATTTCAGTGGGAAAAAACTGAAAGTTTTGATAACAGGAAAATGTTCACAAACTAATTTTCAGTTCATTGAACTGAGGGCTTTTCCCCCCACAAATAACAGCACGAAAAAATGATTTCAAGTGAAATCTTCCAGAAGTGTATTTGAAATTGCTTTTATGAAATTTCCCCTCATATAGGAGAGCTCAAAATTCAGCAATTCAAAAATCAGATTAATTGAAATGATAGCAAAAAAATCACTTTCCGTTCTACCCAACTATGGTTTTTGATAAGTATCAGCAAACATACTGTTTGTTTAGCCCTACTTAGGATTCATTTCTGTGAGTTAAAATCATTTAATTTTTTTCATTTGCAATTGTGCATTAAGAGTATTACTTCTGAATTCCCAAAAGTTGCTCAGAATGTGTATATCAGTGAATGCTTGGCAATGGTACAATGTATGAGAAACTGTGAATTGGCTGAGAGTAACCCTATCTAAAAATGACATTCTATGGGATAATGTAAAGAAGACAATTAAGTTTCAACATTCATAAATGTAATCATGTTGATTTTTATGTTCTGTTTACATTGCCAATTATTTGAGAGGAATTTTCATTCCTCTAAATATTGCAAATCATAATAAAATGCTGCTTGTGGGAAGCAAAGTAATCCTGTGAAAGAAGGTATTAGGCAGCCCAACCGGTCCAAAATAATATGTAGCAAACTGCTACTGGACCATATATGGGCAATGATGCAAAATGAACTCATGGGATAAGAACCTGAGAATACTTCTGGGAGCAGAAGTGATTTGGTATTTGACAGGCACTCACTATGCTGTTTGTTGACTTTGGCAATGTTTTTACAACATGTCATGCCAATAGACTTACAATGCTAATGACTTGTCTGAATGTAAAAGCACATATCACGCTGTACACTGTTATGTGAATTTATAATGACCATTTTCTAATTTCCTTTTCTATGGGGTGAAAAGAGGACACAACCTTCAACCACTAGCCTCAGCTGATCATAACAACTCATGAGTGTTTACTGGACAAACCTGACTATCAGTCAATTGATAACCTATCAGCAATGTTAATTTTTTATTTAATACTCATTTTCTCTTTGCTATTTGTCTCTTCTTCTGTCCTTCTCCTTTTTACAGTTATTTAACGAGTGGATCACCATTCTAAACAGTTATTCTGCCTTATCTGTTTTCTAGAGAGGAAGTCCATATTTTATAGGCTCGATACTGCTTTTATGAATTTAGTGATTGCCTTATCAAACTTCATGAGTAGTAAGTCAATAAACAGATGAGGTCAATAAATATACCTATGTATCTCATTGACACATTTTTGTTGCTCACTAGAATTTGATACTGGTACTGTAGGTATTGCTCAGGCTCAAAAAATGCATCTGCACCTCTGAGCTTCTATTATACTCTTGCTAAAATCTGTAACAATACTTTTTAGTCTTAATTAAATCTTGATGTTTTTACAGTTCCCAATGGCACAATCTATTGCCTATTCTGCTTAATTTAAGACAGTTTCTGTTCTTAAATTGGATTAGACTTACTTGGGAAAAAAATCTTTCCAATAACTGCAGTTTTATGCTCATTTATTCTAATAAAAGATGTGCCCATTATGATAAAAATGGCATGAGAGGACACATGAATGTTTAAAAAGATTAATTACATTGTAGCATGCAAGTCTCATTTTTATTTTACATTTTTTATAACATCTGAAAAAGCTCCATTTGTTAAAGTTGAGCCTCTTCTCAGTATATTCACTGTTAGTTTACTCTTTTTACATTCATATATAGTCATTGCTTCTTGTGGAAAATTGTGTGTAAGAAAAAATTGCAATACTTTAAAGTAAACTAAGAAAACTACTTTTGCCAAAGGACTGTAAGTATGAGTCACATGAGCAGCTCTGAAGATCTGTTTCCTGCAAGGGTAAAAAATCTCTGAACTATCCTGATTGGGATGGTGCCTGTATAAGCTCCACAATGCATGTATACAGATTTTGCCTTCTAATCAATGAGCTTACTGGCAACACAATGACACTAATAATCATTAACAATACAAATTCCAATTGCAGCTATGAGATAACAGTGGTACCAAGGCATTCTGAAAAGTATGATTCATTGTCCAAGTATCTACTTCTTGAGCGGTTGTACAGTTTAGCTGCAGTGGTCAGTTCATAGTAACAACAAGGGGCATTAAGGCAATCAAGCTCCAGCAGTCACAAGAAATCATGGAAACCAAGATGATGGTTACTCCACAATGTTTTACCCATCCCCAGAAAAAACCCAAAACAAAAAACCAAAACAAACACAAACAAAACCACCAAAACAAACAAAACCAAAACAAACAAAAAAAAATACAAACAACACACAAACCCCATGTCTCATGAGTGTGATATGGCTGAAATAAGAAAAAAATCCACCTTAGAAGTAATAATAAGCCAAAGGAAAAAAGCCTCAATATCATTCCACAGCTACTTATCTCTTCATCCATTAAAAGCAGGAAAAGAATAAAGGTTTGTTTATAACTGGAAATAAACCAAATGCTATTATGATTATGAACTATAGTTATATTATTTTTAGGTGATGTCTGACTTTCAATAAGATGTGCTTGAGTGTCCACAGTGACTCTTTTTGCATAGAACAGAATTGGAATATACTGTCATGATAAATTGACAGTATAGGAGACTTGCAAGAGCATTGATTGAAGAATAATGAATGAATTTAAAAAAAGGGTTCCAAAGGACACAGATATGTACAGCTGTAACATTAAACCTGGCTATCTCTTTCACTGCTACCACATTCCACAGGTGTGGAATAGATAAAATTATGTAGTGAGGGAGTGATGACAGGTCTGTATCTATATATCATTCCTATTGAATTGCATATGTACACCTTCTATTTATTTAGGTATTTCTGTCATTACGCTTGGATGTGTTTCAGCAAGTTAAACTTTCTAATTGACTTAATGGAAACATTCAGAAAAAAAAATAACCTGTTCTGAGAACATTTTACTTGTGCATTTGACATTTGCCTGTTTTTCTTCTTATTAAGAGTATCTGCATGAAAAACAGAGAACACAGAAGTTCATTCAGTTCCAAGATCTATTTCCCACCTATGTCAGAATCTAGTCAATATTAACTAATTGAACTTCAATGAATTTTAAGTAGATTTCATAATTACAGAAATACTCTGCTTAATGTAGAATAGAAGGTAAAACGGGCTTAAAGCCAGTTAAGTGCTCTCCTGCTCATAGGTTAAATCCCAGTATGAGTTAAAATAGCCTCAGGCTTTCTGTAGCTTGCACCAGATGGTAGAACCCCTTAGAGGCAATTATATTGGCAGGGATGACTGGAGCATGGTATGTTCCAAGCATAGTCCTTCCTGCCCCAGTACATTTCCAATAAGTATTTCCTTTGCCAGGTTATTGCAATGACAGCTTTACACTGCTCAGAGATTTCTCCCATGTGGGATAAATCCCCAGTTAGTCAGAACAGGTTTAATTCTGCTCAGAACTGCTAAAGCAATATACAGCCAACTTGGCTAAGAACAACAATTGGCCCCACATCCATAGCTAATGAATAAGCAATAGTCCAGTTCTGTATGACATCAGTTTTGTGTGTGAGTTGGGTTTTTTTAGTGATTCTATTTTTTCTCCATCCTTGTAACAGTTCATACCTACAGACTATCTGCATGGAAAAAGTGATTTCTGATACCTATCCTAAATTGCTTTTCCTGTAATTGCTATTCACACCCACTTGTGCAATTAGCACAGTTATACTGGAAAAAAACAAGTCCCCCTCCCAAAGCTTCAAGTTAGCATTCAATGCGGCATTTCAACAGGCTTCGTTCTCAGACCTTATGGATCTAAACTCTCAGCCTGCCCTCATAGCTCATAACCTTTAATCCTGACATCAATCTCAGTGCTCAGTGCAATTACTGTAGTGCTGTGTTCTGAAAACTGGCAGAGACTCAAGAGAAGTTTGTGAAAACTTGCAAGTTTCTCATCCATTTTCATTAGAAAACTGGTGAGACACAAATCTCCTTCAGATGTTCTCTGAAATTCCTCCTACTCATCAGTGAGGTATTGAATAGCATCTCTAGTCTGTGAGGTTGAAAAATCACAAAGAACTGTTCTGTTTGCATTACTGATTTCTACAGGTTGGCACAAGCCCTGCACAGATTTTCTAATTCCTTTCGGGAGTTCCTGGTAGTTATTTTTTTCTCATTAATCTAATTTCTGGTGTGCATGTATGGCTTCAACACTGAAAGTCTTAAAAGGATGCTCACCAGATTCTTGATTTTCTGTATTGAAGGTTCAGTCCGTTTCTGGATCAGAAACTCTACTGCAATAGTTACTTCAAATAGCGGACCTTTCCGAAAAGGCTTCCTGAGAAGATGATAGAAAAAGCATATTTTCTGGAAGCTGGGTTTTTTTCTCTATCTGAGCTCAGCAAGGTACATAGGTTTGGTGTCTGAAGATATTTTTGCTTTGGTCCATCAAGTGATACAGCTTGGTATTGATCTGAGGCTTTATTTCCCTGTGCATTTCATATCCTTACAGTCTAATCCTGCAACATTTCAAGAAAACACATCACACCACCTTTTTGTATTCCACTGTTTCCTGGCCTCCCTGATACATTCTGCCCAGTGCAAACATCAAGTCTTCACCTTTCTTAATGTCATGGGTCTCCACCTCATGATGAAGCACTGATTTTTTCATTTCTTTATATTCTCCAGGTTAAACATTCAGCATTGACATTCACCAGTGAAGCCAGTGTTTTCTCACTTTTGCTTTTGGATAACACCATCAGATTTTCTGTCATTTGCAGATCAGGGAAAGGACATTGAAAATGTATAATTTGCCAAGTACACAAGGTGAATATTTTGCTTTCAATAGCATAATACCAACAGTTATTGTAAACACATATATCACTTATGACTGTCTTTTACTTGTTTTTGTGATGAAATCCTAAAAACCACCCCAACCCTGCAGACAAGTAAACAATTCCAATTAGAACTGTCTAACTATAAAAAGAAATTAAACAAATAAGTTAATATTTTTAGAGTGGTGTTCTCTGATTGGTAACAAGTAGGTAAAGTAATGCACACAGTTTCTGGAAAAAACACAGTATATGAAGAATATACATATAACAACTGTTTTCTGTCTTTTTTTTTGCCTCTTTGAAAGTTAAGATCTATGAGATCTTATGTATCATTCTCAGTTTATTAGTCTATAACTTTATGATATTTTAGCAGCTGGGTACACTGGAATTCAATAATGCTGTAATTTATATTGACAACCTTTTCATTCCTAAGTCTCATTTTTATTGTACCTGTATCTTGTACAAATTGCCACACAAGATCCTATTAGATGAGACAGCTAGATTGTTTGACATATGAAAAATATTAAGTGTTGATATTTTGATAAAGGTCAATCCATACAGTTTCATAGGAAATTCCTAGTATGTATTTCTCAGATTTCAGACCTTTAAGACCTTTTTTGAAGAAAAAAAATTTAAAAATCAAGGACCAGATTTGAAAACAACTTGAAAGTAGGGTGTTTGTTACGATTCCAACACACATTACAAGATTGTAGGGTGAATAAATCATCCCAAATCATATTTTATAAATTTCTCAATCATAACTACCATAAACATTTTTCAGTGTCCAAACACATTCTTGTCAATAAACCTTTAAACCATAAAACCGTAAGGGGAGACATGGTTTTGGGACATAACTCTTGGTCACTGGTGATGATCACTGTTTGGGAACCACCATTCTACAACATATATTATTTTATTATTCACAAGCACTAAAAAAATTTCATAGACTGTGTTACTAAGATAAACACAAGCTCATTAAATATTTTAAACAAAAATATGGCATTAGCAAGCATAAATAAAACCTTGTAGATTTTATTTACTACATTATCTTGATCTCTCTTTTCTGTTACTGTTTCTATTTCTGTAAAGGTGAAATCCTTAAAAACAGTGAACACCTAAAAGCAGAGTTTTATCTGTGCAAAGGTTGACAGGTTTTTGTATTGAGGGAAAGCAGGGGTCTTGCATTATTAATTTTTTTCTTTTGAAAAACAATCTTGCATGATAGATGCATCAATGATAAGGGCATTTCCTAGGTGTGAATTATAGTTTCCAATTACAAAAACACTGATATTTCAAGATCATGGAGAAAGGATACAGTGTATAATATAGGTAGACTGGCTACAGGGTAAATCGTACAAGGTAACTGAATTTTTATTTCTGTAACTGATGATTGGTTGTATATTTGCAAGTTCCATGTTTAATCAATAAATATTTGCAAGTGTAGTAACACTTGTCATAAATCTCCCCATTACACTGTTTGCTCTGTTCCCTAAAGAGCCCATTAAAAAAAATTGAAAAAATACTCAGATATTTTATGCTAAAATTAAATGAACATTTTTACGTACCTACAAAGGTGTTTGCATACTGAGTTTTTTCTTCTTTGAGGTGAACAACTTAATCTTTTCCTTCTCTCCCAATATTATAGCTTTTTTTCCTTCCTTAAAGTTTTCTTTTAACCCAAATCCTTCATAATTATAAGATATATCCTGAACATAAGATTAGTGCCACAGAGAGTATTAATCCTGGTTTCTATTCTGACTCAACTTTCTGACTTCCTTTTGTCTCCTTTAAAGACTACTTTTCTCCTGTTATACAATTTCTACAGCGCTTATTTGTTTTATTTCTCTAAAATATTTTTTCCAATTCTCTCTTCCTGCTAGAAGGGACATAGATGAAGTGGGTCAGTGCTAAAGAGTTGTGATAGTATCTTGTTATCATTAGAGATGCATTTTCTTTCTCAGCCATATTTTTTTTTTTTTGTGTAACCCACTTAAGGATCAAATTACAACATAAGCAACACAGCAATTTTTACTAGGAGGCATTTACCACACAGGCATTTAGAGACCAGTACAGTCAACCACAAACCAGGTTTCAAGTTTTAAATAGAGCCTAGTTCCACTTAAAAGCACATTTTTGGACTGTGGTTTTCAAAGAAAAAGCATATCAGCAGCTTTCTGTTCTGATTTTTAAGTGATATGCTGCTTGGGATCAACCTTTGACTCACTAGTGGCAAGTGTAGAAATTGTGAGAACTTAACCTTCCATAGGTTCTTGTAGACTTATCAAACTGCTTCAGAAAACATACATATTCTCCTCTAGTCCAAAGCTGACGTGTAAAACTAGGGAAAGCAAATGAGCAATCAAACAGGAAAAATGGCACGATGATCAGTGTGCAAAAGTACACACAAATGTTTATACTATTTTTTTTTCAAATCTGACAAAGTGCACGTACAATTGTTTTTGTATTTAACTGGTTGACTGCATTTACGAGTATTTCCCACACCATCCCATGACTTTTTTGGCTGTCATAAAAAAATCCTATTCCTGCTCTGTAAAGCAGCCCATGGAGATGAAAAATGGGAAGTTTACACCAATGTGTAGAGCTTGTGGTTAAGAATCAGCAGTTCCTGTACATAACATTTTATACTGGATGGTGAGGCAGTGAGAAAATACTGTCAATTAAGAAGGACGTTTGACATTAGGCCTTTCTGCAAGCCCTTGACCAGCAGGCAGGAGAAAGTTATCTAAAAATGAGAGCTTAAAAAAAATATTTATAAAGTATAACCATTTTGACAGTAGAAATGTTCAAACTTCAACTTAGTAAGGACAACACATTAAGTTTCTTAATCTGTAAGCAAACAGTCAGTTTAGGCAAACGTATTTACAGTAGCAACCTCTTGGACTAGTGTTAGCCTGTTGGGGAATGCTTCAGTTCCCTCAGTCTTTCCATCCTCTTAGTCAGTATTTCCTTGATTTAAAAATGTCAGAAATTCCTGTTGATTTGTTTATGTTTGGATATATCTTCCTTGCTATTGAAACAGCTATATTAGCTTAATTATCTGTTTAGCCGGCAAATGTTTGTTGTTGTTGCATCAGCTTTTCTACTGGGCTTCAGGAGAAAAGAAGGTTCACACACCAAGAAATTTGCCCTGTCCCTCTTAGGAAAAAGATCTGAAAATTCTCTGCAGCCTCATTCTCTTATAAATTCATCCTTGCTCTTTGCATTTGCCTTTTTTTGGCCCACAAAAAGGTTTTAGATGTGGATGTGACTGCTTCAAATTAAGAGACCTGAAGTTAGGTGTCTACACACAGCTGATTGTGTTTTCTCTGAACACTCCCTATAGTCATCCCAGAACTATTCAATATATCCAGGTCCTAGAACTGTTCACTCCACCAGTGGAGCTTGCAGAGTGGTTCAACTCACCCTCAAATGCATTTCAGCTTCCTCAGAGCAGCTCAGGTCTCTTATGACATGCGTCTTCTCTCACTTTGTCAACAGCAAAAATCAGTGAGGCCAATCTGCATCAGGATTTGCATGGTGTTCACACTGGTGGAAACGCAATGAATCTCAGGTCAGCTTGCTCACCTACTATATCTCACCTATTGCTAACTGGCTTATTGAGGGTGGAATAGGATAAAAGGAGACAATTCCTCCCCTGAGCAACACTTAATACAAGGAAAAATCTATATTATTGTTAACGTCTAAAAACTAATTACTTTTAAGCTTACGATGGAGGCCAATACTAAGTTGAAGCAAAAAAAGAGGACACTCAATTTATCAGATGTAGAATTATATACTCTGCACCACAAGATTGTTTTCCCATGGAGAAAGTTTTGCATGGCTGCATATGTTAAAGGGAGCTCCTGGCACTATAGAACCACACAGCTGCTCATTCAGTCCTCCACCTCCTGGGCAATCCCCTTAATGGGATGGGCAGGAGAATCAGAAAGAAAAAGTAAAACTCATGGGTTGAGATAAGAAAAATTTAATAACTGAAACAAAGAAGACATACTAATAATGCTAATAATAAATAATAAAAAAAAGAGAGAGATATGAACAAAACCTGAGAAACAAGTGATGCAAAATACAAACACTCACCACCTTCTAAATGATACCCAGTCTGCCCATGAGCATGATCAGCAACTCCCAGCCAGCTTTTGTCTATGGAGGTGTTCAAGAAATGACTGGACACAGCACTTAGTTCTGTGGTTTAGTTGACAGGGTGGTGATCAGTCAGTCAAAGATTGGACTCGATGCTCTTCGAGGTTTTTTTCCATCTTAAATGATTCTGTGAAAGCTTAAAATAGACTTATTAATACTTTAATATAGAGACTGTGCAGGTGTGAGGCTTAATTATAAAATATGTTGGTTCTGATTGAACAAACTACATGAGTAAATCCAACTTTGGATACAGAACAGTGAAAGTTATATTAAAAAGTCATTGTATTTGAAAACTGGAACAAGACAGTATAGTTAAAAAGTGATTGGATTAAATTAGCTTTGAGATTACAAGACTTTAAGCAGAATTTAGTAAGTGAATATTAGCATGTGTATTTTGTTATAATCCCCTCCTATCTTTTTTCATTTTTATTTACTTTAGATGTCAATGAAATAAGACACGTAAAAGACTCCTACACCAATTTGCACCATTGCAATTTGGCTCTGCTAAAGCTTATAAATTGTTCTCCTGTGCCTCAAACACTGCTGAATCAAAGCTGAAGCCATCACATGGGCTACAATAAACTCTTAGTTCTTCTAACTTGTTTTCATCAATGATATTTTGTTTCCTACAGCTGTGTGTCACAGAAAATATGCAGCTGTCTTTTACAGAGTTGCAAGTATTACTAATGTAAATGGTTAGCACTGTCCTCAAGGCATCAGAAGAACAATCAATGAAGTCCAGGGAGTTCTGTCTTCTATAAACAAGTGTTTAATACTTCAAGACTACTAAATGAGACTGTGCAAGACTATGAATAATTGTACCTGAGGGCTTATGCAGTTTTAAAGACTGAGAAATGTGTATGCTATCACAATACCTTCTATCTTCAGATAGCTCTTGGCTCTACTGCAAGCCTTTCATGAATATTCTACAGCACACGTCTTGTTTTCTATTGCTCTGTGTGAAATCTTTTGTTTTGATTCTCTGTACTTCCTTTCGTGCTGATAAAGTGTTATGAGTGCATGAAATACTTCCCAAGTGACTAACATAATATGCCCAATGCCAGTGAAGCTTTGAGCAAGCGCATCCCTTTTGCTGAATGCAAAAAGGGAGATATCAGTAACAGCATTATAAGCCACACATTTTAACAAAAATAATATAGTAGCAATGCATCAGCCTAGCAGGAATTGCAAATAAACCATTAGAGTTAGGAACTCAAGAGCCATGCACAAAAGATTAAATTTATTCATACTGTTTTTTTTTCTGTCTTTTTTATTTATTATATATCATCAAAATTACATGCAATATCTTAGTCACATTTCTGGGATACGTCTGCCAATTATTTTTTAGGCAAATTCTTCGGACTTCATGTAGATAAGAACTTCTATTGAAGGAAAAATAAGCATTTACCTGAGTAAAACCTTCTACACTTGTTCTTATTAGACACATTTCAGCTGTCCTTAGAGACATTTCTCATTACCCAACAGATCACTTGAGCAGACATGTAGGCAGATGTGAAAACACCATCCAATATGCATGCAAGCCCACTGTAGACAGTTGCATCAACAACCACTGGGACACATCACACCAGTACCTCAGTTTATTTAGGATACCTTCCATTAACTCTATTGGATCAGATTTGGTCAAATAACTTCTAACTTGCATGCATGAAACACTTGTGAAGGGAATTCTGTAAATGCATAAGTTCTGGGTTCCTCTTAAAAATTCAGTTGGTTCACTCTGGCCTTTAGACTTGATTTATCATGCATATAAATGCTTTTACGTGTGCATATGGTGAATTTTTTGTGCCTGTGTGTGAGAGGCCTAGGCAAATATACCCTAAGGAATTCTTTACACACTGCTGATGCAGTATCAAAGTATAATTATGTATTATAACATACTTTAGGTGATGTTTAAGACCAAGGGCAGTGAAGCTAGTGAAAGGACTAGAGAACAAGTCTTACGAAGGGTGGCTGAGGGAGCTGGGTGTGTTTAGCCTGAAGAGAAAGAGACTCAGAGGGGACCCTATTATCTACAACCTGAAAGGAGGTTGTAGAAAGCTTGGTGTCTCTTCTCTGATGTAACAAGAGACAGGACCAGACAAAATGGCCTCATATTGTTTCAGGGGAGGTATAGATTAGATATTAGAAAAAATTTTTTGCTGAAAGGGTGATCGGGCATTGGAACAAAGATCTCAGGGAAGTGGTGGAATAACTATCCCTGTAAGTACTAAAAAATGGGTAGATGAGGCACTTGGGGATATGGTTTAGTGGTGAAGATGGCAGAATTACATTAATGGTTGGTCTTGATGATCTTAGAGGTCTTTTCCAGTCTTAATGACTCTGTGATTCTATGATTCTATGTTGCTACCACTGGTGACAGTCGATGCTACATAATGACTAAAATGGAGATACTCTGATTTACAAAAGATATAGTTATTGTCAATTATTGTCTCAGAACTACAGCTCTGAGAAATTTCTTTATGAATAACCGCTGCTTATTTTCCAAGCAACGGTCATTTTATTAAATCCAGCTTCTCCATTTCAGAATCCATTTCTGTGCAATTGAAGAACTTCTTCACTGCCACAACTATGTGTATTTGTCTGAATTTAATGTCTACTTTAAAACAAAGTAGGACTCCAGCTAAAACTAACTGTAGGTATGGGCATACAAAATCTGCTAGAGTGGACTCACACTAAAATAATAATAGCAAAAACTACAATAATAATGAAAATAAAATACAGGGATCACTTGACCGTGTATGACACTCTAAAAACAACTCATGAAAACCTGACTAATAAGTGCAATTTGTTATTAGGGACCACGTTCCAGGATACTAAAACTCAGCTCACTTTTCTCTGATGACAGGAGTTTATTTGATTTTATTTATTTTAGTGACAACTCTCTATATTCTCTCTGTATCTGCATTTAATAGTTTTTGTATGCATGCAGCTCATATTTTCAGAATGTTTCGGAAAAAAAGAGTAGACATTACAGACAATTGTGCGACATGCGAATAATTTCAATATTCTTTTCAGATCAAGTCTGCCAGACAGATGACCCTGGAAACAACAGTGTTGACTAAAAATTCAGATACTCAAATGATACAGAAAGAGAAGCAAACAAATTATGATTGTCAAAAAGGGGCTCAGGAACATTTCATGCACCAACAACCACAAGGTTAAGAATGAACCAGTAAGTGCAGGACAGCAATACTGATGTGTGCAAGGATTCCAAGTTTTTTGTGTTTTATTTTAACAATGATTTCCATCAAGAACAAGACTGAAAACTAGAAATAATTCTAATTCATATTTAGGTACTATTTTCTGAAATGCTCAGATGCTGCAGCCAGAGTTCTACCACTGCCTTCTACAGCAGGGTATAACAAGCACTGTAACCTTTAGCTTTTGCAGGGAGAAATGAAAGCCCCAAGCAACCCCTAAAAAAACCCAACAACAGCAACAACAAAACCCACACAAAACCCCCCAAACAAACAAACACCTAGCCCCAACACGCACACCCACAAAAACAGCGATAGGAAATGAATCCATGATTATTGATGACACTCAGCTCAAATCTGGATTTTTAAGCGATTCAAAGTCTCACTGCATTACTTGAGGAGAGTGGTTCTCAGGGAATGATTAAGCTTTATGGAGCTGCTCTCCAGAGCCACTCACAACATGCAACTTCCTTCTGGGAGCCAAGTCACCAGGAGAATGGCATAATAAATGAAAAGGCTGAAGAAAAGAATGCAGCCATATTTCAGGAATTATCAAGCAGATAAGGAGACATTTGTCTTTGAAGGACCTGGATAAGTTCTTCCCATGCTTACATTAACAGAGTTCCTCATGCATTTCTGACCCAGAGAGCTGACAGCACGCACTCAGCAAGTTCCAATATCTCCAAGCCATGCCAGGTCTTCCTCCTTGAATCTAAAATGTTAAAAGCAACTTTAAGAGAGGGGTTTGGAAATATCACAGGTGTTACTAATCAAATGAGTCCTTCAAACCAATGCTGTTCCTGACAGCTGTTGAATATTAAATGAGGCTAGAGACAGATGTGACCAAGAGCCTGAAGCCTTGCGCTTCTAAACGGTGCTGGAGGAAGAGAGTTTCTGGCCACTGAAGTAGTCAAGCAGTACCTGACAAGCCATTCATTAAAATGGAACGGTCTATTTATGTCTCTCCTTGTTTCAAGGTTACCACATAAATCAATTTACAAAACCTGGGACCTTTAGGAAGATGAGTAGAGCAATTTGATATAGAAAAATAGCAAGTTGTAAGAATTGCTTGAAAAAATAAAATAAATAAACAACTCTGAAATATAAGAATAATCATCACGTAATTGACATACCCAAAGTACATGAGGGTTCAATAATGAAGTTTTAATAAATTGTTATTAAACGTGTCTACAAACAGTCTGTTCTTAGACCATACTGAGCATTTCTTTTAGAGGAAAAATGTTCTTGAGAAATCTGTAGCAGGAAAATACTAATAAGTTACAACAAATATAAATCTACTGTGAACTTTGAAGAGCAACTGAGCTCCACAGAACAAGACAGTGCTCACAGCTACTACACAGAACTTTGATGTACTTTTCTCAGTAGCTGTAATTGTTTTCTTAGGTGGGTCCTCATAGAAGAAGTGTGTTACAGTTCTGTAGTGCAAAAGTAAAATATATTTATCCCAACATTTGTGGCCAAAAGCTACATTAAATATGGTCAATTGCATTCATTCAGGAAAAGGAAAAAAAAAAGAGAATATGGCAAGCCAGTTTTCTACAGAACAATGAAGTTCTTGTGCCTACAGGCTACATGGAACATAAATTTCAGCAGAGTGAGAAAACTGGACTTTAAAAAGTACATTTATTTTCTCAAAACACCTGACAGTTACCTGTAATCCACCTACTTTGCTAAAAATCCAGTTGATGACAGCCTTGAAATAGTTAGTATTTTTTAAGTGCCATAGATATAGTTGGTTAAAACTATTATTAACAAGCCTACTAATGTGTTTATAAATTAAATAGCATTGGGTGTTGATGGAATGGTATTTTGCATCTGAACAAAAACTTGTAGTAAACCTGAAGGACTTCAGACTGAATAAGTAATATTCAGTAGATGTTCTGTAAGGTGCATGTTTGGTTTTTTGAGTTCATTTTGTTTGACTTTATGAACTATATCTTCCAGGCAGCTGCCTTAACTTTGAGTTTCTACACAGATAGTAAACTTCTGTTCTCCCAACTAGGGCTACACGATCATACCCGAGGTTGTGTCACCAGCATCTTCCATCATAGATCCAAGGTAGGGCAATATATGTTCTCTCTCAACACTAAAACAATGAGTTGGCTGAATATCAAATCAATCATTTACTTGAGCTAGTTTGTTTAAACATTAGTGCTTGTGGGTGATCTTTTCAGTTTGCTTGGGCTATGTATGTCTTTTGGATGTGAAAGATTGTTCTGGAAATCAGGCAAAAAGTGTCTCATTCATGAGAATGCAGGCATTTTTCTTTTCTTTTTTTCCCTTTCTGGTAGACCACTTCTAACCCAAATATCCTGAAATGCATTTAAAGTAACAACGATTAAATTTAGCAAGACTTGAAGCTTTAAAACTATGGATTCAGTGTAGGTAAAGGTGGAGGTGGTTGTTTGTTGTATGTCAGGACTAGGGACTGAAAGAAAACCTGTGCAGCACTGAGAGGAAAGAAGTTTTGTAATTTTGGGACTGCTGAGGGCTGTATATCATCAATGTCTATAATAAACATAAGTAGATGGAGTAGCAGCCTGTCAGACAAATACATGCAATAAATGACAATATAAGGTCATTAAAGAGTCATCTAGGTCTAGCACTGATATAGCAAAGAGGTTTTAATCAAGATCAAGCCAAACCATATTAACTCTTTCCTAGACAGCAGGTAAAATTACTGTCCTACAATCTTTCTTCTAAACATATTCAATGTTAATGTAAACAAGGCTGTAACATAAACATCTTTTTCTGAATGGCTAGGATGTAATCCAAATATTTATCCAAAATACACACATGAAAGTGTACAACATATTTCTAAGTATATATATATATATATATAATATATATATATAAGATGAGCTAAATATATTGCCTGTTCTTAAAACCACAGAAATACACACAAAGTTAGCTGATTTAGATTTTTATGAGAAAACTGTTTACTTTAGAGTCTAAGCAACTTAGCCAAGCCAAAAATCTGCATCCAATTTAAAAAGCAAATAGCACACCAAATATATCATTAGCTGAAGAAGCATTCTAGCTGCTCAACCAAGTTAAAAAATAACCTCTTCAAATTTGAAACAAAAACATATTCATATATGAGTGTTATACAGAAAACACCCATCACACGAATCATACCAGATAAACCATTATACAGCCCTCAGAGGTCCCAGTCTGCATAGCTAAATTAAAGCAGGGATTTAAATATGCTGAAAACCTGTTCCAGTTAGTCGGATTTGGACAGATTAATTCAGATGCAAACAGCTTTTCATACCACTTGCAAGGAAAACTTATAGTAACCAATTATATTTCAAAGTGTTATAAAATATATATGGTGCGACTAAAATATCAGCAAAATAAAATAAAAATAAACCAAGTCTTCCTCTCAACCTGTAAACACAAAAGCCCTTCATTTTGGCTTTATATCTTTTAAAAGTCTAGTCTTTTCAGGTCGATTTTTTTTTTTTCCCCCCAGAGTAACTGTGTTATCCTGCATATGGATGGAATGCTGCAGTCATTAGGCTGTAGGATAGATTTCAGGTACCAACTTTGTTTGAGATAATTTCTCTTGTGTCTTAGAAACTTCCCAATTAATGTGTCCTGGAAAATAATGTATTTCAGAAAACTTACTGCTTATTGGTATTCCAAACAGCTCTGTTATGATGGCATACTAGCGAAAAACACCCCTGGATCAAGGATCAAACACAAGGATGAAAAGCTTTACTACAGCCCACCTGGTTTTATTACCAAAATATTCTCTATTCAAAAAAGAAAAAAAAAAAAAACACCATTGTCACCTGAAAACATTTTAGATTATATGAGAAGACCAAAAACTGACAAAAAGACAAATTCCTCAGAATCCGTCTTGATTCCACCTTTGCCAGGCATACAGCTATTGAATATCAAAGTCAAATCAATATCAAAATTAACTGTATTATTCCAATACTCAGTTAGCATGCTAGCTGTATTATGCATAAATTGATTAGAATGATCCTTATACACCATTCACAATTGTTTGAAAATATTATGTTTCCACTTCAGACTAGTTACTGAGACTCCCACCTCTTTTTATGTTGCCAGTCAATACACTAGTCTTTTTTAAACAGAAATATCTTTAATAAATACAAGCAAGTACTGCCATTTCTGCAGAGCCAGCTAGCGTATAAATATCTGTACTTACAAAACCCAGTAATTTCCTAAACATTTGAGTACACATAAACCTGTAAGCATTTGCAAAACAAATTAAAATGGATGCAGAAATGTTTGATCAGCACAACATTAGATTTTTACAAATGCTCACAGACACTTCGTTTTGCTATTGTTACCTACATTTCTGTGCATTACATTGCCAAATGGTCACATTAGTTGTCTCTGAAGCAGTTTTCAGAGACAATATGGGGAAGCTATAATTACAGCTATGTCAAAGGGATGAAAAGCAAATGAAACAGAAACAGGAAGGGATATTTCCTTAGATGCTATTATTTCTCATAGGGATAATGATCACATGCTGATATACATAAAAGGTCAAATATTTTGGGTTTTGAACACTACTAATGTACTGAAATAAGGTATTAGTTCAGCTGGTTAAAGCAGGATGCTAATAATGCCAAGGTAATGGGTTCAATCCCTATACAGGATATTCTCTTGGGAGTTGGACTTGATGATCCTTGTTGATCCCTTCCAACTCAGAATATTCTCTGTGTGATATGTCAGCCGTTCAAGTAGCTTACATGTATTTATAGTAAATCAAAATTTCATCTTGATTTCCGTTCCTTTCCCCACAAATTATACATTCTCCAAATCAGCTGCTTATTACCACAAATAAAAAGGAATAAACTGTAGCAATATGAACACAGTAACGTCAGGTTTAGTTTTGCAAGTGGCATTGCATTTTCATTCTTGTTAATACTGGGGTTTAGATAATGCTCTATCTTGGTGCTTTAATCTGTTCTTGAAGGAGCTGTCAATCAGCCAATTTACCTTTGTACTGGTTGGGTCCAGCTAGCACATGCAGACAATAAATACAGAGAAAAGCAGAAAGAAAACCCCTTCAGAAAAACTGGAACTTCAAAGCATTAAATCATCCTCACAAATTTTAAAATAAAGATGCACAGAACTACAGTATATTTCATCTGGAGTTGCACACAGAGGGACAAATTCATCCTTAGACTCCTAAGCAGTTTCAGCGTAAATTGCTCCTTCATATATCTAAGCTCAAACTGTGGGTCATAACTGGTTCACACTCGTTCAGTATTTTTGTCTTTGAAAGTGTTGTCCTGATAAAATTCCAAGAGTCCTAAAAACAAACTGTTTGCCATTATGACAGCCAGCACTGACCTCCGATTCATTAATCAAGAAATAAAATCTTTTCTATTTTTAATCAAATTATCATCTTGTTTGATGAATTTGATTCTACGACTGTTATTAACTAAGGTGCTTTCTGACTTGACAGCATTTTCAATTTACAAGTTTCAGAAGATTTCAGATCCATTGGAAATACTATGAGTAATCTTCAACACTCCTTTTACCTTTTAAATTTATAACACTACTGATTTACTTTGGCTAAGACACAGAAAATATATTGTCTTTACAAATTAAAATACAGTGAAAAAAAAGAAAATCATGGCTCTATCTACTAAGACTCAAAGTGTTCTCCTCCTTGTCATACTAGGTTTCTTAGTTGAATAGGACA